AAAAAAAAAAAAAAAAAAAAAAAAAAAAAAAAAAAAAAAAAAAAAAAAAAAAAAAAAAAAAAAACTAAAGAAAATACAAAGCTCTGAAAAAATTAGCACTCTTGGCAAAGGCCAAATCAAGCATACAGACAAAGACCCTTGAAAAGAAAAATCGTGAACCAACAAAGATATTTTATTGATAATATTTCCACCCATGAGTTTAACTATAATTAAATTATCAAGTAGTTCATATCTTAATTAATACTTCAGAAAGGGATTTCCCAAGGATGTCCATCTTTCCTCGGTAGTAATTAAAACTTTTGGTTCTCGTGTATGAGTACAACAAGCATACTTTGGTTGACTTTTTCCCCCCATGAACAACAATATCAATTACACAGGACACATCAACTCAATGGATGCCAATAAATACTAACCATACAAATTCTTAAGGCCACAAAAAAAAGGTGGAATTGAACAAGTACCTGATTGATTGCTTCAGATAGAACTGTTGTAGTTAAATCCATGCTACTTTCATGAGACACATCCTCACGTGAACCAGGCCACCAAACCGAGGGCATCATATACTCAAGATCCTGCTTATTTGGATTCTTCCGTGATAAAAAACCTTCGAAGAGGAATTCAAAATCAACCGACTTCCACCAAAGAACCATTAATTCTTCTCGTCTGAAGATGTGACAAGCCAATGCAAGATAGGAATATGATCCAGAATATGGGCACTCAGTTAAAACTAGCGGTGATGTCTTACAGCTGCATGAAAGGGCGTTAATTAAATGCTCAAATAATGCAAGGGAGCCTTGACATCTTAGGAGGACATCAATAATTCTATCTAAGCTTGAGTGATTGTGTGGTGGCTGTGGTCCAAACACTTCCATCATGAACGAAAAAAAAGGACCCCATCCAATATACTCAATACAATCTGCATCGGCTTCAAGTGCAGAGAAGAATTCGTCACAAATTCCAATAGAGACAGGATGAAATAGTTCTTCAACTGAAACAAACCTTTTTAGTCTCCTCAATTTCTCAACAGAGTTAATCTCAAGGCATTCTATACGTTTCTCTTCCAATATCTTCAACAAGCATTTCAGCATATGGGAAGCAAAACTGTTTACCGATGGGGGTGCTTGAAGGGGGAAGTAGCCATCAATAGGGTATTTAAAGGGGCGAGCGCCAAAATTTATTTCGCATCTCTCTCCTTGAGATAGAGATATTGCTGGAAAATATCCAATACCAGGACCCATTTTGCGGATCCCAGAAAATGCCACCCCAAGTGAGATGCCATTCCTATAGAACGAGATTTCATTTCTATCCAAATCAATACAACATCCAATGACATCACCAACAACCCAAGACTGACCATACCTCTCAGCTTCCTTATTCCATTTGCGAACTCTTCTCCCATCAAAAGCATAGGAATCATCTGCGTCACCAACACCCTCGTGGTCAGTGAAAGGGCAAGCAAGAGTTGCCCATCCAAGCTGTTGTATGCCTGAAGTTTCTAAAATAACTTCGTACATCCATTTTCCACTCCAGACACAAGCATTAGCCCTAGCACTGCTGAACATCGAAAAACTTTCTACAAGTGATGGCGGCTTAACTATCCTAATATCACCACAGATGCTAACTTTCTCGATACAGACTACATTGGATCCCAAGCCATTATCAACAATACATATGCCATTTCCCACGCCAGAGGAAGCAATTGGATGAGCAAGTTCGGAGAATCTATTCTTTATGATAGAACGAATAAAAGCCGTATCAATTGGACTAGTCACAGAATCAATGGATTTGTTGGGGAGACCAAATACATATTCAAGAGTCCGCTCCACAGATTGATGATTGAATTCATCACAATAAGAAAAACACCGGCCTTTTGATGAACTCCCTCTGTTATCATTATCATTTAAAATAACAGCCAATCCAGAAGAAATCCCACCAATCCTTGGACTGTCTTCTGCCATATGCTAGTAGAAAAGCTAGATATTCCAATTCCAGACAGAGACGGGAAATGATGATGAAAAAATCACAAATCAGGATACGGATCCGGGGCAGCCTAGTAGGCTTCCAAATATATTAACCCATTCCAACTAACCCAAAATTCTGAAAGACAGGCATGGCCGCGACCCTGAAGTATTTAACTAAATTAATTTTTTGAAAAAAAAAATACAATTTCAACACCAAGCATCAAGGGTAGAATTCCGCATCTCGATTCATGAAAAGGCAAATATCAAATATTGAACAAGTGATCCCTGAAACTACCACTTACGAAGCTACAGTTTACACATAAATATCCCAAATACAAGCACACAAAATGCAATTCTGTGTAACATCTCTTTATCCATCCAAGATTTGGACGACATCAAAATAACTGAAACTAAAGAGAAAGAACCGCAAACTCGAAAAGACTACTTTAGAAGCTTTGAAAGTGCCCATTTCTGCGTAACCGGAATCACGATGTGGCAGAATTTATTGCCATCATGTCTGCCAAACCGCGATATAATTGCCAGCAAAAAAGAGCATACCGCTACGACACAAATTTCAAGAAAAACGAAACGCAAGCAAGCTATTACAAGTCCAACTTACAAAATCAAAACACGCAAGAAGTTGGGGAAAACAGAAACGAAGAAAGGGAAACTTACAGGTTATGAGATTTCAGTTATTTGCGGTATCGTGCAACAGTGTAGGCGGCGGAGACATGGCAGAAGGGGCAAAGTAGTTGAAGTGGAAATTTGATTGGACCGAGAGAGAGACGCAGAGAGAGAGAGAGAGAGAGAGAGAGAGAGAGAGAGAGATTTTGCGAAGAAATTGTGCCAAAAAGTCAGGGAGGAGAGGGAACCACACAGACAAACCAAAGCAGCTGCCTCGAACCAGAGAACGCCGACTCGGAACCCTAATATGGGAAAAAATGATGACACGTGTCAATATGTGCCTCATGATGACGTGGCCAGTACAGCAAAATCACGCGCGAATTCACTCACGGTCACGGTCACGGGCGCTATCGTACTGTGTGCCTCCGTCGACATCTTCTAACCCGAACCTTCGCTTGCCGTTAAAATCGCTCGCAACCTAAATCCGGACCTGAATATGGACAATTGTATACGTGGCTCAACTGCATTGGTGGAAACGACTCCTTAATAAATTTTGTTCTTTTATTAAGAAAAGCAAAGCAGTTTTTTTTTATCCTTCAACTCAACTAATTAATTTTTTTCATTTTTAAAAAAGAAATAATATATTTTATCAATTTTCAAATTTGGACAAAATGCACTACACTACGCTATGTTAAGCAAGAAGTGGAAATAATTTAGAAAAATTATCTAAAATAAATTAATAAATTACTACGAATTTAATACTTTTCAAAGAAATATTACTAAAATCATTTTTGCTAAGAATTTGTTGCATGTAACGCCGCAGAGATGGGGGAGGGGCAGAATGAGCGCCACGTGTATGGAACATTCAGAAGCCTCAATTTTGGGCCCCTACGTGACATGTTGTGAGCACGCGTATTTTGATTTTTTTTTTTTAATACCATTTTCAACCACAACAAAAAAAGGAAGTCAACGCAATTTTTCAGTAAAATTTATAAATGAAATACACGGTGAAAATGATGTATCGGGTACTCTTGCCATTTCTAAAAAAAAAAAAAAAAAAAAAAATTATTAAATAGATTTGTTTAATAATTTAACTGTTATTGTGGTAGTCAATTCTTTTTCTTATAATAATAATAAATAATTTTTGGAAAAGGACTATTAATATCTTTGTACTCTGTCCTGAAATGAAAATAACTTTTGGAATATTAATAATGGAATCTGTATGTGCATGTCGTCCATGTGCTGTGTTTGTCCATATTCATAAACCAACCTAATGAACTTTAAATGAAGATCCCACACCCTGGATTTTGATATTAGAATAAGAAATGAGCATCTTACAGCATCCTTTTCAACATCATCTACCCTTCCCCGCCTCCTATCAACCCATATCCACATAAAGTGGCTAGGTTGATAGCAGGGATAAGTACGAAAAAACACATTGCATAACCATCCCTGTAAACCGCCTTTTATTCTTTCTTGATCTATGAATCACTTTAAGAAAAAATTAATCTTTTGACTAAAAGTGTGACTGTTAGGTCTGGATAAGCTAAGCTGGAGACCATTCTTTTCACTAACTCACCCTTCTATCAGCCTTTCCAACTTCTAAATTGGTGGCTGGGGATTCAAATTCTAATGAATACAAAATCAAATGGAAAATCATTTACCTAATCATTCCCCACTCCACATATGTTCATTTCTAAAACTCTAGAAAAAAAGGCCACAAGTAGGCTGAGGAGGAATAGGGGATGGGACAAAATTTGGAAGTTATCTACAAAACCAATCTTAAGAGACTAGCCTGCCCCAGCCTTGGCTGGAAGGCTTCCATCCAAAATATTGCGGAAAATATAACCATGTTAACACTAACAATAAGAAATGTTACACATTAACATCACTAAGTCCATTGGGTAGGTGATATCTCTAAACGAGCACTTGATGTACCAAGAGACGAAAGCTAGCTACATACAGCGCAGGAAAAGATGAACGGGAAGGATGAAGAGTGTGTGTTACATACAACGTGAGAAAAAGGTCTGCCCCACGTAACCCCCAGCCATAGCCCTTCTCACATTGGATTCAAACAACTTGGGATTGTCCCTTAAAACTGCAGCAGCATCGTGATTCAGTGGGTCCTCATCATTTGGTTCCTGGTACAAATATTTGAAAAAAAAAAAAAAAAAAAAAAACAGGGTAAGAAGACAACTCATGATGTTAAAAATTCACTAAACTGCAGCCTTCTACAAATCTTTCTAATCTATACCGTGAACAGATGGTAGAGTCCATAAATAACAGTGTTAATATTGAGAACAGGCTTCCAATCCTCCCGCAATATGTTGAGGCACACATTTCCTTCCAAGTCAATGTTTGGATGGTAAACCTGCATAAAGTGTAAATAATTACCATACGAAGAAAATTTCCTCTGTACTCGAGGGATCAAATTCTATGGGTAAGGAGCCATCCAGGTTTACCTTTGTCTTGCATTTGACTTTAGGTGCTTCATGCGGATAGATGGGGGAAACTGTAAAGGAGAAAAAAAATGTGCCTCCTCTGTAATTCAGAGAAAAGCAAGCAATTAGGAAAATTAGTAGGCACAACATTAAGAATATTATTAGGAAGGCAGGAATGCATATTTGGAGTTAGTTAGTGGAAGGCATAAAAGGATGGAGTAAGAGAATTTGGGATGAACATTTTTCTAGAATTAGTTTGTGGGAGAGAACATGGCTCCTGAACTTTTCAGAAACTTGCAATTTTCTTTCTATATATCAAGAAAAAAAGAGGAAAGCACTCCACTAGCAGGCAACAGTTTAAACTAAAGATTGCTCGAGTATGGATCTCAGAGAAAATAGAATGAATTCTTACAAATAATATCCCTCATCAGGTCGTATTGACACCTCAAAGTTCATGAGGTCATCCTTGCCATTGGGAAAGGTTATGTTACATGATTTCGGTAGATTCAGCTCACTAATATCTGCAACAGATTAGGTACCAACAGTAACTAACTAACAAGGTTTCGATATCTCAAATTAGCAGAGACACATAAGTTGACTATCAACTCCAACTGAATAAACAGACTTCAGGGCAATATGCTGGAGTATGACTCGTATCAAATGCAATTGGAGAAACCATCTAAATAAAGAATCGCATGTAAATGACAAAAAGGACGTGAAATTTGGATCTCACTCTCAACCAATAAGTCATATGATATATAAGAAGCGGAAAAAATAAAAAGAAAAATACAAATAGGCCACTCCAGGGCTTCTAGTGTATGTTTTCTTTCAGCTATTGACAGACGGAGGTTATTTAGTGCACTAATGACCCCATCATTACTGAATCTGATAAGACAACATCATATAAACGATAACAAACTTTATTAACATCTAAGAAACAGATAATATCTTAGGATGGAACACTTCTTTTCATAACACAAGCAAAATTTCAGTCCTGCTTAAGTCAACCAATTTAATAACAGTCACTCAATAGAATTGTGACTGTTTGAAAGTTTCAAAATGGCTCATTTAGAGGAAAAAATCAAAATTCACTTCTAATGACCACCAACTTTTACTTAATGGAAAGGTCGTTTTGTTTTTTCACTCCCATACCATCACACATCAAGAAAAGGTATTAATTCTTTGCATTGGCATGCCCCATGCATCTGAAAAGTTTACACAAGTAACTCCCCACTAGGACAACCTCTCATTTATTTTTCTCCCAGTGTTACGAACATAAAGAACCATTGCAGGTTCACTATCACTTCCAACCAGGCAGGCTTCCACATAATTGCCTTTTTCTAGGATCTCATAAAAGTGGTCTAGCAGAAAGTGGAAAAAATGCGACTATGAGCCGCCAAAAGGACAAGCACTCAATTCCCTAGTGAATAACCAGATATCTTCGACTAAATCTCTTTCAAAATTACCAATGAAAATATTTTGTCTAAATGAAAAAATTGAAAGAAATAATCATTGGAAGTAAGCCTAGGAGCATAATACATGAAAATTCTTGTGCACTCAAACATTCCTGTTAACTGCTCGCTACGGCAAGCAAATTACAAAAAGTTTGTAAAATACAGACCGGCTATCCATCTTTATATAAACTCAGGATACTCGTGCATCTTAGAACAACGTCAAATAATCATACACTATTGTACATGCATGGGACACATTGGGGAAAATGGCATTTGAATATAAGACTTCCAGTTTGAACAAGAAATCTAAAGCCACTTAATAAAAAAATAAGGTCTTCAGAAATATGCTAAAGTTCGCAATATATTATCCTATTTAACATCAAATAATGACCATCCATCTCTACATAAACTCAGGACACTCATGCATCGTATAACAACATCAAACAGTAATACACTATCATAAGTGCATGGGACACATATGGTATTTGAATATAAGACTTCTTATTCGTACATGAAGTCTAAAGCCACTTAATCAGAAAAGAATATGCTAAAGTTTGTAATATATTATACAATTTAACTGGCGTGACAACGTACAATACACAAAAAAGAATCTTCAAATGTACTACACAAAATCTATTATTGATGCATGGAACCAACTTGAACTAATTTCAAACACATTCACCTCGTTGCTTCTCATTTAAATATAAAGAACCAGATAAACTTTCTAAATTGCCAAACCTTTGTGAAGACGTAATTCCCCAGCACTTTGCTTCTTTGTAGGTATCCCATTAATAGCATTTTCAGCAAGTTCTCTCTGCTTCTCCTTGACTTTAAATAGCTTAATCATATTCCTGCAGCAGAATATGCAATTACACCCCATACATATGTTATATTCTCTCAGAAACCAACTTCTGTTAACGAGAACGAAACAACACAAAGATGCCACGAGCAAACAAGGTCAAACCACCCAAGAATAAGACGCTCTCCAGACCTCCTTCAAAAACCATCCTCCATGTGTTGAAAACCCCTTCCGATCCTCTCTAATAAAAAAAAGTTTCACAACACAATCGAGAGAGAGGCCTGTGAAGGCGATCTGCATCTCCCACGAAGAGTGGATGCAACCTCTTCAAGCACACGGCATCAGTCGTGGACTCCTGACTAAGAGATCTCAGACAATCCCAAATCCCAATTGCCTACAAGATCTCAAACTAAATCTACATGGCAATCAAATAAGGCAAAGAATGAGGTTCCGAACCTCCAAAACCTCTCTACAAAGAACAC